GAACGATTCTCATTTGCTACTTAAATCTACAACATTTAAAAAAAACAAAATATTAGATCAAGTAAGCACAGAATCAACTTTGCACTGCTGCGCGCGACTGCGTCAAGGATCAGACAAATAAGCACGTGCATCTTGAAAAGCGAATGTTTTGGAAAGTGCTATGCCACATTTTTGTGCCATCTAGTGGTTTAGATGAAAATAATGTCAAAGGCGCTTTTTACCCCAGGGCGCCTTTAGCCCCGTTGTACCCCTATACATTTTTATTTTTAACTGTTGCTGAAAAGCTGCTGTTTACTGGCAGGTTCCATTGTGACAGCTTACACATACAGTCATGGCCAAAAGTTTTGGCAGTGACATGCATTTTGTGTTTTGCAAAGTTTGCTGCTACAGTATTTGTAGATTATTTTTCCACACGTGTGACAATGTGCTATGTAGTGCAGGATGCCTCCTTTGCATGCCACAAAGGTTAACATGGTCAGTGAAGTTCCTGATGTTCACAAGCTGTTTTGAGGTCAAGACTTTAAGGTCTCTTATCGATAGTTTCTCCATTATTTCTACATTATATATTGAAGAATAATAAACTTAATAACTTTTCTATTTCAAAAATGCTAAACGAAAAGTACTTGATAGTATCTGACATTGCAAGTCCCGTGAATCTACTGATAAGAAAAACATTTTGATGTAATATGGTGTCTGTGGTTTTAAAAAAAAAAAAGGCTTCACTTACAGTATTCATTTCCTGCTTTCAGCAAGAGATTGCAGATAAATATGCAATGATGAGAAAAAACCTTGCAATGATGAGAATAAAATGCATGTTTCCAGAACATGTAATCATGAGAAATAGGTGTTACCACTCTCAATGCTGCCCTCCCACATTTGTAGTTAATAAAAACACATAAAAGTGACGTGTGCCATTTTCACTTATCCTAAGTAACATGCAGACTGCAGAGACAACTTTAAAGCCCAAAGTAGGCGTATACATAAAGTTTTTACACGTATGCTATGCTAGTGTGTTTGATGGAAATATTGTCATCAGCATTGTACATGTGCTGTGTGATCTGCAACTCTTGTTTAAATGAGTACAAAGACATTTTATTCGGAAATAGCGAAGAGAAATAGCACAAACACTTTACAAGGATGACAGATGGTAGTTAAAAAAAGATCTATAGGCGGATTTTATAGATGCAAGTTTTTAAAAGTCTTCTGTAGTGTCTTGGGCATGACATGGTGTTCTAAAAGCATGCTCAAGTTAAAAAAGTACTTTAACAAAACTTCTCTAGACATTTCATTTTTTTTTCTCGTTCCACTGCTTGCATTTTTCAATGCAAAAATGTGTTCTGTGTGAACGGCCCAAAAGAAAGCCATTTGAAGTGTGAAAGCGTAAACATCATGTTTTGTGACGGTATCAAAACGTTGTCCAACCAGTGTCTGAGTTTGGGGCAGTACTGTTCGGTTGGACAACCAGTAGCAGTAGGGAGTTCAGGTATTTGGGAAACCTGCTTGAAAACAGTTTCAACAATTTCAGTTTCATTATTTCAATGTGGAGCAGAAATTAGACACTTTACGTTTAACGCAACACTTACCATAAAAAACTATGAAGTCTAATGTGTTTAATAAATTATAATAACTATTATAAACAAACAGGTGAATAACTCCACCTTCATATCCAGATTGGCCAATATCATTTTTTAGATGGCTACATTAAAGTATACGGGAAGGAACCAAATGTAATTGTATATTGTCTTTTCAGTCTGTTTAGTTCTCAGATGCACAAGATGGTGACTCCTCCTACCACACTGACTCCTCCCACCACTGGAAATAACAGTAATTTCAACCAATTCGTTGACTCAGAGTTTCGCTACACTCTGTTTCCTATATTCTACAGCCTGGTCTTTATCTTTGGGTTGCTGGCCAACTGCTACGCTCTTTATGTGCTGCACCGTATGCGAGAGTCAAAAGCCATGAATGAGATTCGAATCTACATGACCAACTTGACCGTTGCAGACCTGCTGTTTGTGGTCGCTCTACCGTTCTGGATTGACTACTTCAAGAATCACGGTAACTGGAAGAACTCAGATGCCCTCTGTCGTATCACAGGCTCGTTGTTCTTCATCAACACATACTGCTCCATTCTCTTCCTTACTGTCATCAGCATTAACCGTTACTGGGCCGTTACCAGGCCGCTGGTGGCCGCTTCTTCTGACTGCTGGAGACGTGGAGCAATCGTCTCAGCGTTCATCTGGGTCGTTACTCTTGCAGCATCAGTTAAATCCCTCACTGATGATGGAATCCCGAAGAATAAGGAGAATAACAACATTTCTCGCTGTTTTGAGGGTTATCAAAATGAGCATTACTCTACGAAATATACAATGGCCGTCACGCACTTCATCATTATTAGCTTATTCTTTCTTGTTTTCTTGATGGTGATTATCTGCAACATCTCGATCGCTCGAGCTCTTCTGTCGCAACCCATCAGTCAGCCTCAAAGCAGCACAGGAAAACGTCCCGGTGGTACCAAGCGCAGAGCTTTGAGGATGCTGTGTGCTGTCATAGGCGTCTTTGTGATCTGTTTCCTGCCCCACCACGTGGTGCAGGGTCCCTGGGTGTTGTCGGTGCTGTACCTGAGGAAAGATTGGAGTAAAGAAACACGGCAAAGCTTAAACGATGCTCACCAGATCACCCTCATGCTTATGGGGTTCAACTGCCTTCTGGACCCGCTGGTGTATTGCTTCGCCACCACAAAGTTCCGCAAGTACATCCAGAATCATTTCACAAAGGTCAAGAATAACAAACGCTGCTCACGCAACACATTAAGCACGGCTGTGTCACTGAAGAGCAGACATCAGAGTGAATTATGAACATTGAAGAAGAGCAAAAAAAAACAAAAACAAAAACCAGCTGAGAAATATTTGGTGTCTGCTTATTCTAAATAGAATCCTATTCAGACAGTTTCAGATTTTAGCGGAATTTAATTTAAATTCCAAATTAGGTTCTCTTTGGATTCTTAAAGGGATAGTTCATCCACAAATTAAAATACTGTCATCATTTACTCACCCTCATGTCGATCCAAACCTGTATGACTTTTCTTTCTTTCTTTTAAAAGATATTATTAAAAAAATGCCTTATACAAACCAGTCAAAATCTCTCCTTTTGTGTTCCACAGAGGAATTTGTGAGGCTGGGTAAATGATGACAGAACTTTCATTTTTAGGTGAACTATCCCTTTAAATGTAATCAAATGATTGACATGATTTTCAATTGCTGCCCCTTGCAGACATCACATTGAAACAAGGGAGAATTTTAAACTCTTCAAATTATTCAACGCATATGATAAATGCCTGATATACTGAAATATTAAGCTTTTTCAGCCTCATATTTGATTAATGTATTATCATATTGTCTCTTAAAGAAATAATTCACCAAAAAAAGGACAGTTCTGTCATCATTTACTCACCCTCATGTAATTTTAAACATGCATGATTTTTTTTCTTCTTCTGTGGAGATATTATGGTGATGACAAAATGTTTATTTTTGGGTGAACTATGCCTTTAAATGTTTGCACTTGTGTAGGTGGAATATCTATATAGGTTAAACAAACCTATTATCTGTAAAGATGTGGTGTTCTATTCTCGGTAAGATGTGGTGTTCATTTTTTGTGTTAAGAATAATGAAAACATGATGTCATATCTGGAGACAGTCTACTCTAGAATAAGGACGACAAATGAATAAAGAGGATGCTGGTGGTTGATCTGACCAAAGCAAGGTGTGATAAGAACAGAAGACAGGTCTTTTTTTTTTTTTTTTTTTTTTTAAAAACATAGATTAGTCTAAGCTGAAAATGCAGATGAAAGAAGCTACCTATTTCCTGTGATACTAGAGCTTCACTGTCTTAGTCTGGATTATCTGTAATATAAATTGCACTTCATAAAAAGGTGATCAGTTGATTTCTGTCTCATGTTACTATGACAAAATATATTTATTGTACTACCTTGCTTGTTTGGAAGTAGCTCTATGAGGACCATTCCTGTGGGTCAGTTCTTATGCCACACAGGAAACCTATGCATTCTTTTGCAATGGTTTATTTTCCAGAATGGGGAACTTGAACTGCACACATACCCTGGAAGTGTGCACGTAAACTGCCATGGTCTTGATCTAGAAAACAAACAAAAAAATGTTTTCTTCACAAACAAGTTTAGTAATAAATACTCTGATTGTGAACAAATGTACGCACTTTGTTCTTAATTGTAAATCTGCGAACTGCTCAAGATAATTTTATCCATGACATTTTACAGTGTTGTGATATTATTTATTTAACAGTAAGTGACATTTATATTTACATTAAAGAATTTTCTCATATACTGTAAGTTGAAATCTGTTTTATATCTATATGATTTACATTTAATGCTTTGCAAAACCAGACTTTTAAGAAAATACGTGTTTAAATAGCCAGTAATTAATGTCTTGGCATTTTTTATTATTTAAAAAGGTGTCTATGTGAGCTATGGTGGTCCTTTAGACAATTATTCAGTGATTTGTTTTCTCCTTTATTTCCTTGTGGCATTAACACATTTTAAAATAGCATGATGCTTGTATGGCAGCTGCTTCTGATGAATCTTTCTCAAAAAAAACTTCTGCATTAAGTAGGAAGTTTTGCAAAGATGGTGTTATGTACGCTCCTATTTTAAAGCTATGAATGTTCTCATTTACTCACCCTCATGTTGTTGCAAACCTGTATGACTTTCTTCTGTGGAACATAAAGGAGATGTTATGCAGAAAGTTGGGTATTTGGGTTTTTGTCCATTTAGTGAAAGTGAATGTTGATCAAATCATCCCTTTAATGTTTTGATGAAAAGAAGAACAGAGTGAGTGAAGGACAGTTGTGATGGAAAAACTCCTTGTCTCACATTCTGTCAACTGCAGATACTATTCTAGTACAGCAACTCTTTTTACATTTGAATATAAAAACATATATTTCATATGATCATTGATGTTTGCTCATGAAATAAGGCTTTGCATGTCATGTAAAGCTTAATCAGCACTGAAATGGCAAAATGATAATAAAAAAAAACATTGAAACTGTATGTTTTTGATTTTCTGTGTTTTTCTTTAAAGACATTTATGATAATATATTAATGGGTATTCTGCTTTACAGGTATGCAATAATAAGCAACTTTAGATTTCAGCAGTCATGCATGCTGGGTTTCAGGTTCATATCAACATTGTGTGCGTCAGCGGCCCCCATTGGTGACTGATTTAAAAATGGATTAAAATAGTGATCAGGGTTAGTCTTATGTAGCCAGATTTTTTTAATTATAAGTCCAAGTACTATTAAAACAATATACCTGAACTTTTATTCAATTATGTTTCCAAGGACAAAATTATATTATTTAGTACTAGTTATGTTATGTACTATTTTTTTTTTTTACAAAATTACATGATTTACATCATGACTCAGTTAAATACAACTTTATTGGAACAGTTCACCTCAAAATGACATAATTTACTCATGTCATTCCAGATCTGTTTGGTCTTTCCTGTGTGAAACACAAAAGAAGAGATACTCAGAAAAATGTGTCAGTGTTTTCCTTTCATACAATGAAAGTTAACCTACTTTTATTATATGTCACTGTACCGCTCACGGTACACTGTGTTTTTTGAGGGTTAACTTTGTGACATACAACAACTCAAAAAAATTAAAAAATAAATAAAAATAAAAATGTCACAACATGTAACATATCTTTGAAAAGCTGAGATTCTTGTGATTCGAATGATGCCAAACCATTTTAAGATACAATGAACACAATCAGTGTCTTTGTTAGATTGTCAACAAGGCTTCATGCTGTGATCCCATTGTGTTTTCCAGCTAATAGCTCCCAGCTATAGTCCTCTGCAGGCATCTGTTTACAAAATAAAAATGTAGGTGGAATGTTTTTTTTCCTTTTTCAGTGTGTTCAAAGTTCTATTACTCAATGCCAGTAAGACTTAGAGTGATTCTGAGGTTTGCTCTGTTTAGGAACAAACCTCAGAGTGTCACCTTTCAAAAGAGACCAAAACCATGCATATACTCCACATGCTTCAAGAACAGCATGCAATTTACTTTGGGTATGCCTTTTTTATGCATTTTAGGCAAATTTTACAGGAATGCTAAGGGGTCAATAAAGGCATACAGACAAAACAGCTGGAGGGCATACAATTAAGATGTGAAAATGTATTTGTTTTCAAGCACTGTCATACATTTTTTAGTTGCTATTTCAGTTGTACTGTGGCCTCTAAGTCATCTGAGGTGAGGCTACTTTTATAGATGGAGAAATTATGTATTTCCTGTAGGTGAAGTCTGTCAACAGTGCTTTATGAATATTTATTCCCTATCATGCCCCAACCCACACTCTCCATTCCTGGAGAGATACATCGAAATTAATCCAATTTATCTTTCTGTACTGGCTTTGTAGACTAAAGTGGGGAAAACAATGCTTTTTGTTTGCCAATGTTTGCCAAATGCATAAATATACTGCTAGAAATGCTTTGTCAAAAATGTTTATCAGGAAGCATGTACTATAATTCAGTACAATAATACATTAGGTTTAATGGGTTTAAATCATCTGTAATGTTGAAAAACAGTATTTTTCTTCAACATTTTAAAGTGAAGCTGTAAAATGAATTTCTCTAAAATGTAAAATAAATCAATCTCCTTCCCCTCTGAGGGACACATACTCATTAAATGCTTAAACTGTTGGATTTTTTCCTCAAATCACTAGTTATATATATCTATAAACATTATCTTGATGCCCCCAGTGAGCAAATGTTCTTTTCTTTTCCACAGTTTAAATCTAGACTTATCTAGACTTATTGATTATTCTGAGGAATACATGTTTTTGTGTGTGTTGTGAGGGCTTAGTTAAGAAGAAAACAATCAGGTGGATAAAACAAACACAAATAATATAACAGTTAGCTGGGTTATGTTACATCAAAAGTTTAGCCAATGTTTATTATTTTAATTGTAAAACATGTCAAACAAAAGCTCATATGTGTGAAATAACGAATAATGTATAGAAAGTCTATATACGCTTTGTTTAAAACATGTTTTTAGAAATATAAGATTACAGCAAGTAATATAAACATATTTACAATCAACAGATATTTACCATGCAACGGAAGTCTTAATGATAATAATAATAATAATAAAACTTAAATTGTGTAACATGGTTTTAAAAGTCTCTTCCCAACAGCAGAGGGAGCCCTAACCCAACTTATAGGTTGTCCTCAACAGGTAATTTTTTTTCTCAATTTCTTCTCATATACAGTATATTCACACTGAATAGAGCATATGCTGCACCCTATGTAGACAAAAGGGTGGATCAATGTTATTGCCTTTTATGTCTGTTGCAAAAAAAAAAAAAACATGATTAAACGTGTGATTTAGCATTTTTCCAGCAATAAACATTTAACATACAAATTAAAGAGACAATAGAATATATATATATATAGAACAGGGTTGCCAGGTTTTCGCAATAAAACTAGTCCAATCGTGTTTCGAGGGGGGTTCCCCTGTAAAAATCGCATTCCGGGGGTAAAATACACGTTTTTCGGCGGGGATCTTCCAGTAAAATTCACATTCCAAGGGCTAAATATCACGTTATTGGGGTCGCTTCAACCCGCGGACATGAACAACAACCCGCGGCAACAGTGTTAAAGTAGCCCAATTCCCAATTCCGAAAACCACGGACTTGGCAACACTGCTTATGAACCGCCCGCGATATAGGGTTTCCTTGTTTACCGCTGTAAACAAAGCAGAGCTGCGCTTTATACGGAGGAGAAGAAAATGCCATTGCCATCGAAACTTTTCTCAAGACAGTTCCCTTCAGTGATACATTAATATAACCCCAGAAATGTAATGCATTTTTGTACTTATTTTACTGTTATGTTCGGGATCTACTGGGACAGTGATAAAGATCTATAGTCGATCGCGATCGACGGGTTGGCGACCACTGGTGTAAAGTATACACTTCTTTCAAAAATAT